GAAAGAGTGCCATTGCTTGCTTAGGCTCCAGGCTTAGCTGGTGCTGGCACAAACATCCCCGTTCCTTGAGTTCCTCACCCTGTGCTCTGCCTCCTCAATTGCACACCTGATGGCATCAAGGGGGATCTTCAGAACCGCCCTCTGTCCGGCAGTCACATCTCACCACAGCTGCTAGAACCTATTAAAGATTTCTATTGAAGATGAAGGCTGACAGAACCTGCTGGGACTGGTATTTCTGGATGACTTGTACAAAACAGGATCGCTGTTTTCTTAGAAGATTCAGATGAGTCAGGACTGTCTCTGTTTTACTGGATCACCCAACAGCTTTGGCTGAGGAGAATGAGAGCCCACCTGTATTAGGCTTGCTGTGAGCTTCATTCGTACACTTTCACTTAAGTAGAAAAACTAACCAGCTCTACACCAGCCAGCCACTGAACAGAGTTCCCATATGAAGCTGAGGTTAGAACTGAGCATTTACATGATTATATTTAATAGGAATTTACAGCTTCCATTAAAAGAATAGTGATCTTGGACACTAAGAACAAGCAACAGTGTCAAGGATCACACTGCCAACATTTGTAGAACATCCAACATAAGAGATTGTAGCAAGAGTTCTTGAGATGGTTGTGTAAATTACTGCATATTGTGTATTACATTAAAGATCCTTAAATAACTTGGAAAACTTTTTTTTTTTTTTTTTTTTTTTTTTTTTGCATGCAACCAGCTAAGTAGTTGAGCTCTGCATCTGACTTTCTGACTTACAGCTTGGAGTACTGTACATAAACACTACTTTTTGGTTTTTTTACATATTTTGTAGCAAAGAAAGACTACAATATATATAAATGTTAAGTTCCATTAATAGGTTCTGTAACAGACACCAGTAAAATAAATGAAACACAGCTGATTACAAAGTTTTAAATCAATAACAGAATTTACAGTTATAAATAAATAAATAAATAAGAGAGAAACAAGTAATCTAAGTAGTTTAGAGGATTTTTCACTGTCCATGTAAGGCCTTTCCAAGTGGAAAGTAAAATGCCTTTGGTTGTACTGTTTCCTTATTTCCAGATGTCTTATGCTCTGTACTGCCACGTCAGTAGTATTCAGGCTATGGAAACTGTGTTGCCGTTTGTATTTCTCTAGCATCAAGAACTGGGTCAAATCATTTGAGTTCACCAAATCCAGGTTTACAAATTGAAGACACTCCTGGAAAAAAGAAAACAAAAGAAATGCCATTTCATAACATCAGAGATTAATCATCCTTTAAAGACAGTTTTTCATAGTGCAGAGTTTCATTCCTGCAGTAGTTACTAAATGTAGTTTAACTAAGCTCCTTTTCATTTGGAACACACTATTTCCTGCACCACACACATTCATTTTTATTCAGTTGCGACAAGTCTGCTCGGTCAGTAATGGCTCATTAGCAGTCCTAAATAAAAGTTAATGAAAAGCTAATGAATGGGTTGGGAATCATTAGCTATAAATCACAGAATCACAGAATGGCCTGGGTTGGAAGGGACCTCAAGGATCATGAATCTCCAACCCCCTGCCACAGGCAGGGCCACCAACCTCCACATTTAACACTAGACCAGGCTGCCCAGAGCCCCATCCAATCTGGCCTTGAACACCTCCAGGGACGGGGCATCCACAACCTCTCTGGGCAGCCTGTTCCAGTACCTCACCACTCTCAGGGTAAAGAACTTCCCCTGACATCCAACCTAAATCTCCCCTCCCTCAACTTAAAACCATTTCCCCTCGTCCTGCAGTTATCAACCCTTTCAAAGAGTTGATTCCCCTCCTATTTGTAGGGTCCTTTTAGGTACTGAAAGGCTGTAATGAGGTCACCTTCTTTTCTCCAGGCTGAACAAGCCCAGCTCCCTCAGCCTGTCTTCATAGGGGAGATGCTCCAGTCCCCTGATCATCTTTGTTGCTCTCCTCTGGACCCTCTGCAACAGCTTTCTGTCTTTCTTGTACTGGGGACTCCAGAGCTGGACACAATGCTCCATCTGGGGCCTCACAAGAGCAGAGTAGAGGGGACAATCACCTCCCTGTCCCTGCTGGCCACCCCTGTTCTGATGGTGCCCAGGATACCATTTGCTTTCCGAGCTGCAAGAGCACATTGCTGGCTCATGTTAAGTTTTTCATCCATCAAGACTCCCAGGTCCTTCTCTGCAGGGCTGCTCTCAAGCACCGCTCCTTACAGTCTGTATGGATGCCTGGGATTCCTCTGTCCCAAGTCCAGAATCTTGCACTTTGTTTCGTTGAACCTCATCAGGTTCACCTGGCCCACCTTTCAAGCCTGTTCAGGTCCCTCTGAATGGCATCCCTTCCTTCCACCGTGTCAAATGCACCACTCAGCTTGGTGTCATCAGCAAACTTGCTGAGGGTGCACTAAATACTGAACAAAACCCTCTGGAATCAAACTTGGAGCAAAATTGATTCATTGTACTAGTTTTGACAGAGATAGTTAATTTTATTCAAAGTAGCTTGTATGGTCCTACATTTTAGGTTGGTAACACACAAATGTTTCACTTAATGCTGAATAGTTTTTGTCTTATTTATCAAACTGTCTGTCTCACTCATTGCCTTGGGTCCAGATGAGGACCATGGGGACGAACAGTGGGCTGGAGCACCTTTCTTATGAAGAAAGATTGAGGGAGTTGGGCTTGTTTAGCTCGGAGAAGGCTCTGGGGAGACCTCATTGCTTTCTTTCAATATTTGAGGGAGCTTAGAAACAGGAGGGAGACCAACTTTTTACGTAGCGATAGGACGGGGAATGGCTTTAAACTAAAAGAGGAGAAATTAGGTTTGTTGGTAGGCAGAAATTCTTTACTCAGAGGGCAATGAGGCAGTGGCACAGGCTGCCCAGAGAAGCTGTGGGTCCCCCATCCATGGAGGTACTCAGGGCCACGTTGGATGGGACCGTGACCAACCTGAGCTGGTGCATGGCAACCAGCCCATGGCAGGGTGTTGGGACTAGATGGTGTTTAAGATCCCTTTCAACCTTTTATTCTATGATTCTATAATTCTCTTCCCCATCCCACTGAGGGAGTGTGGCAGCCCTGTGGGGCCCAGATACCTACCAGGGTTAACTTAAAATATCTGCAAAGGGAAGGAAGTCTAAGCCACAGTGAACACAGAGTCTATTTGTGATGTTGCTAGTGCAGCAATATTTGATGGTTAAGCTAGTTAAGCTACTCTTTAACTCATCTCCCTTAGCATTGTAAGAGAACATAGACACTATCAGAAGCTTCATTTCCTCCTAATTTATGTCTTTCTAAAACATGGCAGTTCAAACTTAAGAATGGTCGATTAGGAAGTCAGGCAAAGCACCAGGAATCCTGCAAGGATGAACAAATAGCTTCTGACCAAACTGTAAAGCAAAAAGGAAGCATCGGGAGAGTGGAAGCAAGGATGGGTAGCCTGGTAAGGATACCAAAACGTTGTTCAAGCATCCAAGCATGAAGTTAGGAAAGCTAAAGCCTAAATGGAATGGAATCTGATCACTGATGTCAAGGACAAGAAGAAAGACTTCTTTAAGTATACTCACTGTCCTAATGCTTATACAAAGTGTGAGGCAGTAAAAATGAATAATAGTTTTTAACTGATTCAATACCACATATTGCCACAGACCTGATCCTCTGAAATAGAAGCAAGTATGACAAATTCCATGCCCAGTTGCTACAGAATAGATGGTAGGTTCCACAAACACTGCTGTACTGACAACACGTGTTTTTCATATTACTCCATTTTTATTGACAGTAATTCCAACTCTTAACACTGCATATTTAAAATGTAATTATACAACTCCAATCTTTTGTTCATTATTACAAAAAAACATTCACAAAGTGAGTAACAGTAAGAACAAAAAAGATAATTTCATGCCCATACATCCAAAAACCAAAACTCCAAAAATCTGAGATGTTATTCTTTCTCTTTGAGGAAAAAGTATTCATTTTTAGTGAATTGTGTAAATGACAAATCTTAAACTGAAACTTAAATACATGGACTATGAAAATTAAATAGAAAATAGACCATAGCTCTTGCATATTACAGTGTACCTTACTTTTCTAAGAATCAATCCTTGAGTATGCAATACTCAGGCTCTGGACAGTATTCTCAGGGCAACATTTTTTATACAGGTAAGGTATTACAAGCTTTACAGGTAAGGACCTTACACATGTGCTGACATAAGTTAATATTATCTTGCCTGATAAGGAATACAGTATAAAAAGCTGGTTCTGGAAAATTAACATGAAGAAAAGGTATTTTTATGAAAAGAAATTACTAGAATGACTGATATATTACTTTTTTGAAAGAAAATTTCCTGCAGTTTCTTGGCAATTTAGATTTGCAGAGAGCATAGAAGAAATACATTCAAAAGTCAGCATTTCTCTTTTTATAACTTTTCCACTGGACCTGTCATGGTGATTACATATGAGGCAGCTAAATAAAAGCTTGTAAACACTGAGCTTCGTCGTTTTTCTGGAAATCCTTTCCTTAGGACCTTCTTTCTCAAGTGGAACCACTACAGATGCTGATATTTCATAATAAAAATTAGTAACTGTATTACGGAAATATTTAATAAAGATTTAAGACTGAACTGCTTAAGTGAAAATGGAAGATGTTGCATTGATACATTATCCCACGTAACAGCAAGAATAGATATATTTCTATTTTCATAGGTTAATGGAAATATGGGTCATAGTTCCTCCGAATCTTCATTGAGACTGATTTAATTTTCACTGGTTTGTTGTTCACTGTCCATGTATCCCAGTGAATCCCAGTTGCAAGAAATCTACCTGTGTAACGATGAATACCATTAAGATTTGCAAGGCCACACTGGTTGAACCACCATCCAGTGTTATCACTGAAGTTACTGCAGCTCTTTACAGGCTGTTCTTTAATAATGCACACTGGCCTACATCCATCATTGTCGACGTCAAATGTGCTGAAAGGCATCGAATTCTGATTATCTTCTTTTCTGTATCCTCTGAATGCATCACCTAATCACGGGAGATGAAATGGAATGATGATAAAGGAGTTACTTATGAGAAAAAGAATATTTTTTGCTTACTTCATAATTCACAAACATTTCATCTGAAATTATTACAAAAATGGATTTCCTCAAAAGCAGTTCAAGGCAGCACTGCATTGGTATGTGTTGAAGACATAGGGAAAAAAAAAGTACAAAATACTCAGAAGTATGGAAGAAATGATGGAAAATCTTTATCTTCTTGTTGCTTCGGTGCTTTTAGTGTTGCTAACTATGAAGGTAAAGACTTCTGTCCTCAAAGACCCTTACTCCAAATATTACTCTCTTGAATACACTAAGAGAAAAGAGAGTTGGTATCTTTAAACATATTAAGAAAGGAAGTTCTTACCTGCATTTCCTGAATAACGTCCCAAATGAATTTTAAAAGAACATGCTTCATCCTCTATCCAAAATGCATCATATGATGCATAGGCATGCTTGTCATTTTCTGATTCCAAATCCACGTAAAGACTGAAAGTGGTTGCTTTTTGGTTTACTATATAGAAAATCTTCCTTAAGCCAATCCAAAATTCCCCTAAAGCAAAAATGCAATGTACATTCAATAAACATCTAGAAACAAAAAGTATAATGCTTTCTATTTTTCCTACTTTCCTTCCTGACCTAAGTGTAACAAAAATATCTGATCGGCATGTATTCCTTTGAAAGGCCAACAGAGGGACAGAGCTGTCTCCTTACTTCACTGGGAAAATGCATGGAAGGAACTCACATAAGGGCACCATCTTTTTTCCTCATGACATTTTCAGAAAATTTTATAACTTTCAAGTGCTCGACTTTAACACACTTTGTAAGGCCACAGACACTGGATGTGCTGAATATCCACTTAACTAGACAGAATTCAGTGGTGCTCCAAAAGACTATACTGAGAAATGACAAAGGTCAGCATTATGTGAAATGCAACAAAATGCAACAAAAATCAAATCTAATTGTAAAGATTTGCTTCCTCACATTTTTTTTCCATGAAACACTGCCCCATCTGACCTGCAGCTGCTCGTAAATTTGAAAAGTTTGAGTCTTATTTCTACTCCAAATGGACAACTGAAAAAGCAGCCGCTGCTTTCAGACTTGACAGATTACAGCTGACAGTAAAAAAAATAATACAACTGTTGTATTGGTGTTAGCTACTGAAATATTTCCATTATCTTTCTAATCACTCCCAGTGCTGAAATATTACTGACTGTTCTTTCCTTCACAGAAATATTTTGCAAGCATGATTAAAAGCAACTCAGTCTTTCTTAAATCTCAACGAACATACAAACAAATAATAATAACAATAACAACAACAAAAAAAAAAGTCACAGAGAAATACAACTTATACATAATTTCAGCAATAAAATATTCCATCATATTAACCTCTTCTTGTGAGACTAAGGATGGGTAATGGTGAAGGATTCCAGCAGGGTGAAGGTCACTGTTGAGAAGGTTAGACAATAGTTTTGGGGAAGCAACAAAGCATCTGAGTATTAAACAAAATACATTTTAAAAAACAGGAACTTTACTCTGCATGCTACTAAAACTGCAATACAATTTAGTGGGAATGTAGCTCTCAAAAATACAGCAGGAACACTGGATCCAAAGCACTTAAGAGTATTTAAAACTCATACCAGAAAGATCACCAAATCCATCCAGATATTCAGACCACGTCCTCTGAAATGTAATGATTCCATCAGTTCTTTTCTGAAGCACAGTCCACCCACCTCCTTGAAAATCCATGTCACATAATACCTAAAACAGACACAGGCACGATTAAGCACACTTGAGACATCTGGAATGAAGAAAATAAGAAGTTTTTAAATGAAATAGAAGTGGACTATTTAGGTTCTTGCCAAACAATGTACCCTTCCAACATTTTAACAAAAAGCTCAGAGAAAATTAAGCAAACAAACTGCAGTGTTTTCTTTTATGTTCTATGGAGACTTTAATTTGGAGACTACCTCAATCAGTGTAAGCTGTCATGTGCAAATGCCTCTTCACATTAAATATAAAAAATGTCCTTTGCTAAATTTTACTTTGTATTAATAATAGCATGAAGTGGAAGCAACGTGGGATAGCAAGGGGATGGTTTCCTGCAAGAAACACAGATGGGGGCACTAATAGCAAATATACATTTATTTCAGGAAAGCAAAGAGTCAAAACTTCTTCTGTGTTCTCTTCTACCATCATACCCTCTCACCCAGAAACACTGTTTGTGATGCCTGAGAAATGCAGAGCATTTAATAAAGGTTAGGGAATGAAGTGATAGTGATAACACAATATACAATAATTTATCCTGGAGCAGTAGAAAACATCACATAAAAGGGGGCCTCAATCCAGGGAAGTCTCAGTATGGGCATTTAGCAGCCTGAAGCTGAGCAGTCCCACTGAATACCTGGGATCAGCTCTAAGATTGATGAAACCACTAAGACCACTAAAATTTGTGCCCAGTGGTATGTCAAAAGACAACGGTACAGCTGCTCTCTGCTCTCCTACAGAGTATCACATTGCAGGGCACATTTTCTCCTCAGCCCATTTAACGTTAGACACGTGACTGACCACCCTAAGTTGGGTATCAAATTGTCCTTGTCTGCTTTCTAATCCCCCCTCATAGAGAAAAATGTGCACTCACAGTGTGGGTCTGGAAAAGTAAGATCTAAATCACCCTCTGCAGATGTTACCTGCACTGTCTGCAAAAAAAGGGCCCTCAGACCCTTGGCTGCATTCTTGGGATATCAGGTAAGGGTCTAAAATTAAATGGAATGCATCCAGGTCACTCTGGGTATTTTTCAAGCGTGTCTGCAGTGCCACTGCTTGACCAGCTGTAACACAAATTAGCAATTCTTGTCATCCTGATGCAGAAAGTTGTGCATTGCACATTTAGACGTTACAATCAACCAAGCAGCAGTCTGAGTTTTACATGTTGCTTCTCCATTGGCTGGTACAACTCTGATACTTTTGACAAAACAAAAGGTTTTCTCTGTGGAGGAATACCTTGACCTCATACTAAGAACTTGTGTCACGTAACATCTTCTCTGTGAAGCACAGGAAGCAGCAGCACAGAGCTGCAGCATGATCTAATTAATACAGCTTGGGCAAGTTTTGGTCCTCATTACTCGAGGTGCCATTGGAAGCCTTGAGCAATTCTTACAACCCAAACACTGGAGGAATCACAGTAAGGATCGTGTTCATGCAAGTGCACCTGGGAAATGATGGGCTTTTCTCCCTGGAGTGTCACATGTTTATTTCAGTCAACCAAGGAATAAAAAGAAATACCCACGACTCCAAAATGGGTATTTAGATACAAATATCTAAAATGCATTAAAATAATCCTATTGACTCAGTCACCGTCTTGAAATGATGGCATGCTTTGCTACTGGCCATGAGCCAGAAATACAAAGAGGAACCCGCTCAGTCACAACATCAAGCTCTGAGCCTACACAAATCAGTGGGAGCGGTGGTGATTTTCAGAAGAACAAGATTTGGATCCACAAGAGAGGTCATCAGCATGTTACTTAGATATGGCACCAAACAGACACCAGCTAAGCAGGAACATGAAATAGGTACACAAAAAACAGTCACTGCTATATTTCTTAATTTTTACATGCTGTAAACGATGCAATTGTTTCCCTTCTTAAAGCCTTGCAATCCACTTAACAAATTGCTCTATGTCTCATACTGTGCAAGGTACCAGGGGCGTGACAGTGTTAAATTAAATGAGCACGAGGGGGCTTCTACTGAGTATTTTTCCCTTTTCATATTTAGTGTGTATAGCAAGTACATTTCAAACAGCCATTCAGTTTCTCCAACTCACTGATCTAAACGTACTCATCCAAAAATGCAGCAGAAAGTGAGCACAGATCAGTTTTCCAGAAGTGAAACTGGTTTTAATTGCCTCATGTTTGAATGCTCACACAAAAACCCATCTGAGACTAATTTTCTGAGACTACAAGAACCTGCAGCCCATGCTGAAACTGGATATGCTCAGAGCTCCTGAAATCTAGTTTTGATCAGTTCAAGTTAAGCATCCAAAATCAACACTCACTTCTGAAAATATGAAGACATGAAAACATGAGACATTTTTAAAACAGTTTTCTTCATTTATCTGATATCTTTATGCAGATCATTCTAGAGACACTTTGTTACAGTTTCAAACACATTTAAGGGGCTGAAAAGAAATACCCATGCTTCGTTACTGAAAAGGTCCTACAAATGAGTTGTTCATGTGGCTTTGTTTTCTGTTTTAAATTCTCTTACTATGATTCTCTGCCTTTTTATAATTTTGTTTTATTGTTCCAGTATTCAAACTTTTCCAAACTCCTGGCTATCAGTCTCTTGAACGCATTTCAGTTCATTTTAATGTCTTAACTTTTTTTTGCTCATCCACCATTTCTGTGGTACTTTTTTTGCTCTTCAACACATGGGAAAATTTGCATTAAACAGTTTTCCTTAAAATAACATTCTGGAAGGAACACACATCCTTTAGATATTTTTCTCTGAGAACTTTTTGGCACTGTCTTTTCATTTCTGTGTAACATCTACCAGGCAAGAAATGAGACACTCACTTCAGGAGTGCAGAGTTTCCTTATTATTTATTATTACCTTGTGATTTAAATCAAATTATTACAGTTTTTCCTTTTGCTTTTTGTTCTCCTTAAGGAACCTTTCCACTCACATAACTGATTCTTAGTTCTTTGGGACACTGGCAGTAATTTCAAATGTGGACGAGTGTCAAAAATACTTCTAAAGTTAAAGGAGATTTACCGTTTTACATTTTCTCACATAGATTAAGTCACACCATCTCTAGTAAAAGTAATTTGGGTGAGATATGAATATTTCCTCAATGGAATCTTCCTCAATCCAAGAGAAATTCTGAAACAAATGCATTTTGTACTATAGTTTAGCTGGGAGTGAGGCAGACAGCATTTTCTTCATACTAGGCATACACATAAGTTCTCTGCGAAAAATTCTATCTGTCTTTGCCTTTCTTTTACCTGGAAAGAACGTGATGATGAGTTACAGATTTTTTCACTCACTGCACTGTACAGAGAAAACAACAGCATTTTCTATCAGCAGTCTGCAGAACCAGCACCTATTTTTACTTTTGAGATCCCAGCATACTTCTGAAGTCTTTTCATAACAATACTGAGCTCTTTTTTCATAGCATTTTAAAGGTTCCAATTGGCCAGAGATAAAGGGATTCACTCTTCCTTTGTTATATACAAAAGAGGACTTTAAAAGTAGTGATTACATTTTGCTGTTTACTTGCTGGCTAAAACTCTACATTTTTTTCCTCCAAAAAGTAATAACCCCAACATGTATTGCAAAATAAAAGGCTTGTCAGCCTTATCTCTATCATCACCAGTATAAGTCAGTGCCATATCTGTTTTCTTCTTAAGGAAGCCTTATGGACAGACTGCAATGGAAGTAAACATCCAAAAAAAAATTTCCTGATGTTTGCGTGGATCTGGTGACAGGAAACATGACTGCTGTACTTCACAAGATCCACCTACAAGCTCTGAAGCAACTGTCAAATGAAGTTGCCAAGCCGCTATACATCGTAGTAGAAAGGTCATGGAAAAGGGGAAACATAACCCCATTAACGGGAAAGGAAAAAAAGAAGATCCAGGGAACTGCAGGCCAGTCAGTCTCACTTCTGTGCCTATCAAGATCATGGAGCAGATCCTCCTCAAGACTCTATTAAGGCACATGGAAAATAAAGATGAGGTGATTGGTGGCAACCAACACACCTTCTCCAAGGGCAAGTCATGTCTGACAAGCTTGGTGTCCTTTTGAGATGGAGTTACAGCATCAGTGGAAACAGGAAAAGCAACCGATGCCATCTACCCAGATTTGTGCAAAGCGTTTGACACTGTCCTGCATGGCATCCTGGTCTCCACATTGGAGAAAAATGGTTTGGTGGATGGACCACTCACTGGATAAGGAACTGGCTGGATGGTCACACTCAGGAAGTTGTGGTCAGCAGCTCGGTATCCAAACGGAGACTGGTGACAAGTGGTGTTCCTTGGGGATCGGTGCTGGGATCGGTGCCATTTAACATCTTTGTGGGCAACATGGACAGTGGGATCGAGTGCATCCTCAGCAAGTTTGCAGATGGCACCAAGCTGAATAGTGAAGTTGACACTCTAGAGGGAAAGGATGCTATTCAGAGAGACCTGAACAGGCTAAAGAGGTGGGCCCATGCCAACCTCATAAAGTTCAACAAGGCTAAATCAAGGTCCTGCATGTCAGGGCAATCCCAAGCACAGATGCAGGTTTGGCAGAGAATGGATTGAGAGCAGTCCTGAGGAGAAGGATTTCGGGGTGTCCATCGATGAAAGACTCAACATGAGCCAGTAATGCGCACTTGCAGCCCAGAAGGCCAACTGTATCCAGGGTTGCACCAAAAGAAGCGTGACCAGCAGGTTGAGGGAGGTGATTCTGCCCCTCTACTCTGCTCTCATGAGACCCCACCTGGAGTACTGTGTACAGCCCCCAACACAAGGACATGCAGCTCCAATGCAGCAGGTCCAGAGAAGGGCCACAAAGATGATCAGTGGACTGGAGCATCTCCTCTACAAGGACAGGTTGACAGAGCTGGGGCTCTTCAGCCTGAAGAAGATAAAGCTCTGGGGGGACCTCACAGTGGCCTTGCAGCACCTGAAGGAGACCTACAGGAAAGCTGGGGAAGGACATTTTAAAAGAGCATGTAGAGACAGGACAAGGAGAAACAGCTTTAAACTGGAAAAAAATAGATTTAGACTAGATATTAACAAGAAATTCTTTACTGTGAGGGTGGTGAGACAGGTTGCCCAGAGAAGTTGTGTACACCTCCTCCCTGGAAGCATTCAAGGCCAGGCTGAATGGTGCCTTGAGCAACCTGGTCTAGAGGGAGGTATCCCTTCTTATAGCAGGGAGGTAGGAACTACATGATCTTAAAGGTGCCTTCCAACCCAGACCATTTTATGATTCTATAATAATTAATTTCATTCTTTCTTTTTTTTTTTTTTTTTTTTTAATCCTAGCTGCATATGTCCCACAGACAGAATAAGAATAAGAAGGTTTAGATGCTCTCTGCCCTACAGCTGAGTAGAATGGTGCTCAGACAAAAGCTAAGCACTTATTCCTCAAATAGATGTACATCTGTATCTACACTTAGATGTCCAGAAAAAACATGGTTCAAGATACAGTTACCAGCAGCATCACTTCTCAAGAGAAGGCAACCCTTGAAGCTTCCCCAGTAGAATAATTTAGAAGACAAGTAGATCAGTCTTTTGTCTTTTCAGTTTCCATCTCTAATACAGAAGAGAAGAGCAGTTCTCAGTCACCAAAAGCAGGGCTGGAGAGTTTTCTTCAGTTTTCCTCTTCGGTACATTTTTCACTACATACGAAAACTGATGATGAGATATTATATCAGAGCTTAAATTTCAATGTAGAAACTGATTTTTTTCTTCAAAACTGTAGCAAAGGCAGACTCATTTGGATGATTTAATACACTTCTTATTCATCGGTTGGAAAATTATCATGGAAGGCGTTATTAAATACATTCTAAGTGGATATTCTCAAGCAAATTTCAGCTATCACGAGAGAGAAATTTATTACCTCAAATGCATAATTTGATCCTTCTGGATGGATGATGTACAGACCACTTGGAGTTTTTGAAACTGAACCAATGGTATCTTTAATATCAGTGCAATCCAACCCTGGAGAATAAAGTATTTGATGAAGCTTATTAACACATATTTTTTAAAAAAGAGCACAGATACAGCTAAAGTGGAGAAATACACATTTTGTTGGGAACTTTTGAATGATCTCAAATACAATTTTTTGTTGTGCAAACTTAAAATATGCATTCTCAGGAATTTACCTTATATACCCTCACCTTGGGGGAACTGGAACTAGATGATCTTTAAGCCCTTCCAACCCAAACCATTCTATGATTCTATGGAATGATAATTCTCTGAGATCTGCTAAGCTTGGAAAGAATAATAAATTGCATTTTATTGAGAAAGTTCATTCTAATCTTAACTGATACACAGAAAGATTATATGATGGTTGCTCCAAAGCTAATGTGTCCTATTTTATTCTGTTGGCACACAACATCAGAGGTGCATGTTGGTGGTTTGGCAGTAGAGCCTGAACCTTCCCACCAGTATTTCATTCCATTTTGTTGCTGTGTGACAGATGGCAGCAGAGGAGCAGTCTAACAAATGCTGTCTGACATGGAAGTGTATACGAAGCAAAGGTGTGGAATGGAATTCCTCTATGAGGAAAAAATGGCATCCATTGACATTCACTGATGTTTGCTGAACATTTATGGAAAGCAAATGGTGGATGTAAGCATAGTGAGTGAAGTGCTGTGTGGTGCATTTCAGCAGAGGTGACAGTGATGTGTTCCAGGAAGCCATACACAGCTTTCACACCACGAAATGAAGCGTGTCTTGATCAGCTCATCTGCACGAGTTGGCTGATGGTGACTATGTTGAAAAATATGTTTTGTGGCTAAGAATTTACTCTATCAAATAGTGTCATTATGCCTATTGTATCTGCTGTAGTTTTCATAGGAAGCATTACTTTCAGAGCAGCCTACATATATCCAGGTCTTATTTCATAGATTTGGTTTGGTTAACATTTGTATAGAGTAAAAACACATATTACCCAAGGAAGGATGTCTTCTTCCTGCAAATGTTTGTATATGTACTCATACAAGCCCTTCTATCGTGATTTATATATAAGCATATAATCTTTTGCCTAGTGTTAAGCTAAGTGTGTGTCAGACTCAAGTTTCTAAGGCTGGTAGGACTGAAGAAGGTAATGTTTACTGTAGTTGGGTTGGGAACTGTAAAGGATATGAACTGTCCAGTGCACAGTTTGACTTCTGTTGGGTTTTTGTTGTTGTTGTTGTTTTGTTTTTTTTAAAGATATTGCAAATGTTGAGCATGCTTTATCTCATTACAAAAGAAAGTGCTGTTTAGCTACATTAAATCACTTATGAACTAATGCTTAGTATTTTGCATAAATATCAACAAGACGACAAGATGCTATGCCCAAAATTATCCTCTTGCCAATTATTTAAACCAGCCCTTTCCAACGAGATTCTTATATAGTTCACTAATTTTTCAGATTTTATGTGTGCATTCTAGCACAGAATAAGTATTGTACATGTTAAAACTGCTTACCTGTAATTTGTTCTTTGTTAAGACTCTCTCAAAGATAAAAAGAAAAAGCTCAAGATAAAATGTAGGAAATATTTACCATGAGATTGAACTGCTTTGTAAGGAAGTGGATCCAAATGCTTTCTTAAAACTTCTGCATTCAAAAGAAGAACTCTGTTCATGAGTTCATTCACCTGTAAGTTTAAATAAATATCTTAAAACAGATTGCAGTGAAGTATTTTATATTCTAAGGATGGTCTTTTTGATTCCTAGTAAACAAAATCTGAAGGTCATTTTTGAGGTATGTTAGTAAGTTGTAACTTCATAGTGTGAATTTGTCAGATTTTTTACTTTCTGCATCCAAAGTCAGACACAACTCCAATTAATTTGAGGAAAGCCCTTCAATTTGATTAAGGCTTTTTATCTTCACTGAGTGAGCACGGTGTTTACAAACTACTGCCAGTTAATGATAATGTAATTGTGTGTACTTGTCACGTGCACAAGTACAACAGGGTTGCATACAGCCTCTTGCCCTACTGCCACATGTGCCACTAGGTCGTGTAACACCTGGTGCTAATCGCTCCCTGGGCCTCCCCCTTTAGCCGGGCTACAAGACATCACTCCTGAAGTCAATGCAACAGAGACTCCAGTCCTACTGTGTTAATGACAAAGTAAATAATTAATTAGCTCAGTTAGAAGGTAATCATAGTGTAAATAATAAATAAAAATATTTATGATAAAGAAAAAAGTACCTGATTCGAAAGGTAATCCAAGGAAGACTGTTGATCATCCATCATGTTTCTTACCAGTTTTTTTGTGCTTCTTGCATATTCAACAAGAGAGCTCTGCAAATTCCCTTTAAAAGTAATATGTTCATTCACCTTGTTAGCACAAACTTAGAAATAGTCTTGATCAAATCATGACCATCTATTTGTGATATCTAAACCCAAAGATGCTAAGAACTTCAGCTTTACAAATTGTAAGATTTGATGAATTCCATCCTAACCTTCAGCTACTGAGATAACCAGTTAATGGATAACACAGAAATTTAAATACATCTGAAAAAAGGATAGATATGTAAGGTTTCCTGCCATCTGCATTTTGCCTATTCACTGTGCTATTTATTCAGGTTCCTTGTTTTCCCCTGATGCTAAAAATATAGAAACTACACTTGCCATGTAATCAATAATACATAATGAAAATCATATGGGAAAGGCAAGAATTTTGACACATTTTTTTCTGAGGCTGGATAATGTCAGTTGCTGTTTAGTTTTTCCAGGTGATGAACAGAACATACGTCCTGCATATATATCTACAAAAGGCAAGCTCAAGTACAGATTTCTTCCCACTTAATTTTGGACACTGAAGTACAGCATTTAAATAAGGAACAGACATTCAAGCCTTTCTCTCAAATGGAGAGACCTGCTGATATTCAGAGGATAACACAGACAGGTGGGATGAGCTACTGCTTGGATTTGCCTGTACCAACAGCAATTATGAAGAGAAAGCAGCATGATTAACTTCATTTATCCCAGCTGCACACAGCATCCCAAATCTGAACAACATTCAGAGTGGGCAGCTTGGTCAAAGCCTGCCACATGTGCTCAAGAAGATTAAAAAATAAATCAGCACAGCATAGCGTAGCGTAGCAGAGGAATGCATAGCAGGGCATTGCATAGCTTGTTGTTTAGAGTATTCTGTATGAATACATACTGCACATATACTGTTTTTCCCCTCGTAAAATTTTAGCTTGAACATCACATGGTACAAGGCATTGTTCTTTTTGTTTTGAAATATCTGCAGATTTATTTTTCTCTTCTGCCTTGAGTGGTTCCTCCACAGCTCCAACATTCCTTGTGCCCTGTTGTACCAGACAATGGAGGGGGAAATAAATTGATCACAAACACATGTTAAACTGCTCAGTCTGTCAAAATGAAGCTGATTACCCCATGGATCTTCCTTTAAAACCTGCTTTCTTAAAAGCTTTATAGCAATACTTGACAGAGCTGAGGTTAAGGCTTGTTATGCATCTTCTACTTAGCCATGTCTTGCAAGGGTGTCAGAAGTAGAGAATCACAGAATTATAGAATCAAAACCTCAGAACCCCATCCAGCTTGACCTTGAGTGTCATCCACCACATCTCTGGGTATGTAACCTCCACAAATTTTTAAAATACACCAAAATTTCTGCTAAAATACTCTGTGAGTGACCTGCAGGCCAAAACTTGCAAATACTTGCATTTAGAAGCTCGCATTTTAAGACTTGCCACACCCAACAGACATCTCAAATGCCCACAAAGTTATTTTCCCTGGAAAGGAGAGGGATTTGGGATTTACCACGTAGTACAAAAACCCTTTCACTCTGCAAAGTCTCCAAATTCAGAACTTAAGAGTTTGTTTGTGGAAACGATTCCCCAAGTTATTAATCGAGGCACACAAGTAGTCTCAAACAGATTTGCAGACAAATCCAACATATAAAAAATATTTCAAATGTTCTTGCTGGGGAAGGTTTCAAGAGACACTATTTTCAGGGATAGAATTATCTGAAATAGTAACAATAAAAGCATCAGTAAAAGTAGTTTCATACTACTACACCTAATAACGTTATTTCAAAATAGTATTTTCATATTTAACATTTTTTCTTCCATGGTGCCATAAAACACAGGGCTGTCTCTGATTCATCGCTTAAAGAAATGCCAAAATGATCCCTGAAAAATCTCCTTGTAAGAAGGCTAAGGAACATATTTTCATTTAAGTCTTTGTTTATTAATTCCATAATCTCAGCAAGGCACTGTAACATGCTCATACTGTACTTTCATGTACATGTAGATGTAAATAGGACCTTAGAAACTTAAAGATTCTAATTAAAAAGGAAACTTACTTAGTCTTGACCAAATTGACTACTTGCTCTCCTTTCCAGCTTCAGATTTCTCTTTCTGGTTTTGGCACTACACTGACAAAGCTCTGAACAGTTTATTCCTGATTTTTGCCTTTTAAAATTGAAAATAAATGTTACATTAAATGGTTAACAGGCAGATTTAAAAAAAAAGTTTCTGAATTATTAATTTGATTTCACTTTGTGTCTAGAGAGGAATAAATGCTAGAGAACAGAAACAATATGTTTCTTTGATATTGAAATAAGCACAAAATAAAGGAAGAAAAGAACAGCAACAATTCTAAAAAGACCAATTGAAACATATAAATAGACCACGTGGAGCCAAGTGTTGTTCGGGGCTTTATCACGGCTATCCACCAGCTGTTCAATTAAGTAATGTTAAGAAAATACTTTAATCAGTATTAATTCTTTCTAAAGGCAAAATGAAACAGGCATTAAATCAGACCTTGGGAGTTCCTGTCACAGGTTGGACTGTGCCTACACCAGGAGTTACTGTGTCTTTGCAGGGATGCAGATGACAATAAAAATACATCCCAACAACCAAACTGTTATAAAAGATGTAAAAACAAAAATGTTTTCTTGTTGTACTGTATTTCTACAATGCACTCTCTCTGAAAATACCTAATTCTTCCATATTCTCATACCTATCCTGAACAAAGCAATCTATTTCTCTGTCGCTTGTCTAAGAAATTATTCAGTTACATTCATTGCCTTATCTCAGCAAAGTAATTGAAAGTCTTACCTTAGATGAACAAGGCTTGACATCACTTATAACAGTTTCTCCCCAGCCCAACAAAAGAACACTAAGAGAAATTAATGAAGTTACCCCAAAGCTCTTCATCTTTTCCTTGCAGCAATGCAAATGTTTTGACGGGTTTCACATTTCTGCGGAAAGAATTGTACACTACAGAGTGCTGAGCTAACTATTCGGGAATGTGTACAGCACAAAGAGCAGCCAACACATCACTCCTTTAATGCCTGCATTTAATAAAACACAGCTCTGTTGCACAGTAGGTTTATATACATGCACTGCTTGTCTCCTGAGAGCACTTCCTGCTCATTACCTGCACATGACACACCAAACATATCTCTGCACTGTGATAAAAGCACGACAATTTCTTACACACTGGTTTTGAGCCCTGGTATTTGTATTAGGTAGTGAGTGATTTAGGCTCATTGAAAGAAAAAAAAAAAAAGGTATCAATTTTCAACATTTTTGACAGTGTACCCAGGTGGCCAAGAGGGCCAACGGCATCCTGGCCTGCATTAGAAATGGTGTGGCCAGCAGGAGCAGGGAGGTGATCATCCCCCTGCACTCAGCACTGGTGAGGCCGCACCTCGAGTACTGTGTTCAGTTTTGGGCCCCTCACTACAAGAAAGATACTGAGGCCCTGGAGTGTGTCCAGAGAGGGGCAACGAAACTGGTGAGGGGTCTGGAGCACAAGTCTTATGAGGAGTGGCTGAGGGAGCTGGGATTGTTCAGTCTGGAGAAGAGGAGGCTCAGGGGAGACCTCATTGCACTCTACAACTTCCTGAAGGGAGGCTGTGGTGAAGAGAGGTTTGGCCTCTTCTCCCAGGCAACAAACAGGACCTGAGGAAATGGCCACAAGTTGTACCAGAGGAGATTTAGGTTGGATGTGAGGCTTTTTCTCTCAGAGGGTGGTCAGGCACTGGAATGGCTGCCCAGGGAGGTGGTGGAGTCGCTGTCCCTGGCAGTGTTCAAGAGGCATCTGGATGAGGAGCTGTGAGATATGGCTTAGTGCTTGTGGTGGCAATGGTGACGAGGAGACGGTTGGACTGGATGACCTTGTAGGTTGTTTCCAACATTGTGATTCTGTGATTCTATGATTCTAACTTTTTAAAAGACTTTTATCATTAAACTGAAGGTGTTTTCATTGGTGGGGTGGCAGAATACTAGATATGGCTTATTTCTAAACCTCAGTTTGTACCACACCTCCAGGATATGTCATGTCTGAATCACTTTCACAACAAACTCCTGAGTGTCACCTCAAACTAGCACAGCCAATGCCCTACATTGGTCTCAGTGCTGTGTTCACCTCCCTGTCCGAAGCTGGCATACACTGGAAATTGCCTTTAATAGAGATTTAACAGCAGTTGCAAGAGGGGGATAAATTCAGTATTAAATCTACATACTGTACCATGTTTTTAATGCAATGTTTTGTTTCAAAATTGGTAGCTACAGGGCACTGAGCACCCATAACTGGCCCCTGCCAGCACACACGAAGTTCTCTGTGAAGTTTTTAGCAACTTCTGCTAGTCAGTATCTGATGTGATCAAATATTTAACCTGTTCTGGAGTACTTTGTAGCTTTCCAAGGCAAGAATTCTGGAATGTTACTAGTGCATCAGTTGATGCTTGCTTACGAAGTCACAGGTTATGATCTGTTTCACAGACTCAGGGAGTTAAGGAGAAAAGATTTTCATTGCTAACTACATATGACACTAAGGAGGAACAAATGGTTTTCACTCCTCTTCCTATACGCAGAAGTAGGAAGAGAAGGCAAATTTCAGGAAGGAATGGTTATGATGGGCAGAACCTTGGCTGAACCCCTTCCCTATACAGTTAAACTGAAGCTTGGAGGAAAACTAAAGGGCATTAGCAGATGAATCCCTTCTGGAACAAGAAGGAAAGAAAAATGTGTTTCTGCAGCAGCATAGCTGTGCTCCAGCCTTCAAATCAGATTAGTAATAAATTCAGTCTGTCCCACAAAGATTTAAAAGTTGATCTTTATCCTTTACTGGAATATCAGTCACTAGCTCACATTAAAATTTATGAAACCTCTTCCAAATCAGCTGCCAGAGTGGGATCTTCCATTCTGTAACCACTTGAGACCAGGCTGTTTGCTGTCCTAGAATAACCATACAGCTCTGCAGTACATGGTGCTCAGCTTATTTACCAAGAAAAGCAGCTAATGACCTGGAGGAGCTACAAAGTGGGGCTATGAAGAAGAACAAAGAAAAAAAAGCTGTTAAAAGAGAGAGAGAGAGAGAGAGAGAGAGAGAGAGAGAGAAAGATTTAAAGGCATTTTTAATACTGAATTTCAGAAGATGACTACAATTCAGTTACGAGTTTTGCTGGCTAAGGTCAAAATTCACAGTAAGCCTAAGAAGTTTAAATTCTTTCTAAGCATGACATAAGCTCAAATTTGGTAGCTGTCTCACAGCTATGATTTTGTCCCATTTGCACGACTGTTCTCAGTAAAGTCTTTTAAGGTATCCTTTACAGGCTGAGCGAGCTGGGGCTGTACAGGCTGGAGAAGGCTCCAGAGACCTGAGAGCAGTATCTTCAGTATCTAAAGGGGACAGACTCTAGCAGGGTGTGTTGTGACAGGACAAGGGAAAATGGTTTCAAACTAAAGGAGGGGAGATTGAGACTGGATATAAGAAGAAATATTTTTATGGTAATGGTGGTGAGGCACTGGGACAGGCTGACCAGAGAGATGTTGGATGCCTCATCCCTGGGACACTGGAAGTTATGGACGGCTCTGAGCACACACTGGAGCTGTAGGTGTCCCTGTTCATTGCAGGGGAGTTGGTCTAGATAACCTTTAAAGGTTTTCTCCAACTCAAACGAGTCTATTCCTCAGTAAAACACCGCATTTATCAGACAGACTGGGGTCTTCGGAGTGTGAAAAGAACTGAAGAGGTCTGCTTGGGAGGCAGAGAAGTAACAACCAGCCTTCTGCCTGCAACACTGGGCAGAGCGGTGAGTCTGGAGCTGTTCCTCTGAACTAGAGGTGAAGCGCTTCCATTCCAGCATATCCTCTCCGTCTTAAGGCGGCAGAACTTTTCACATACAGATCTAGCTGATACAGTTCTCTCCAGGTCTTTCCCGCCGTTCCACCAGCGCCCGTCGTGCCCCCGCGCCACCCCGAACCCCAACCGGGGCTGTTCGGGACAAACCGCCGCCCCTCGGCCGTCCCCTCGGCCGCTCCCCGCCGCCCCGCCCCGTCGCGAAGGAAGCGGCGTCTCTCGTTGCTATGATGGCGGCGGTGCGGCCACAGGAGCGTACGGCAGTGCCGGGGCGCTGCGTGGAGCCCGGCGGGACGGGCGGCGGAGCGCTGTGGCGGCGGGACCTCCAGCAACCGGCGGGACGCGGCGCTGGCGCGGATCCGTGCGCGTATCCTTCCGCGTATCCTTCCGCGAGCCGCCCGCAGGCAGCTGCCCGGGAATGGCTGCCCGCTCCTCGCCGAAGGGCGGGGTGGGGCCCTGTGGGGACGGGGGTGCGGAGCGGCGGTGTGGCAGCCGGCGTTCCCCAACCTTTTTTTTTTTTTTTTCTCTCTTCTGGGTAGAAGAAAAACGGTTTTGACAGTGTGGGGGATAAGGGGCGCCATTTGTATGGTGAGAGGCACAGGTTGCCCAGGGGGTGGTGGTGCCCGTCACTGCAGACGCTCCAGGGATGCTGGATGGGGCTCTGAGCACCTGGTGGAGCTGCAGGTGTCCGTGTTCACTGCAGGGGAGGTGGATCAGATGGCCTTTAAGGGTCCCATCCAATTCAATCTTGTGATTCTGTGATGTGTTAAAATGACTGTAAACAGTAAAGTACATGTTTTTCCAGATGAACACTGAATGAGTTATGACCATAATACATATTTATGGTAGCATCTGTTGTGTGATTAACCAAACAGTCTATCAGCATCTTGAATGTAATGGGATGAAGTTTGACCTTTGCTGCTCACAAAGGTGCGTGAAGTCCATCCAGCAGCTTCTGCATCTGTCGTGAGCTCTGGAGATACAACCAGCACTGTCCTTAACACAGCGCCAGGGACAGAGCTTTAGCATTTCCTGTGGGATGGGATTTAGAAGAGGAGCGCTGGGCACTGAAAGAAGATCAAAGGCTGTGTCGGAGCAGAGCGCGGAAGTATTCAAAGGAGACCAACAGAAGGAGGAGGTGAGTAACAAGGGCTGTGCTGTGGGAGGTTAGAAAAAGCAGAGTGAGAAGTTTGAGACAGGTCAGTGTGTTTCTACAATGCGCATGTTCACTTTGCTAAGCAGCCTCACTGCTTTTCCTAGGCTTAAAAAATTCACTAAACCTAAAATAAATTATAAGGGAGCAACATTCCAAGCTGCTATTTGTTGAACCAAAACCACACGTCATGGCTCTGACCTGCATTTATGTTACTCTTCCATTTCTGTTATCTTTGATGGGTTGTAACAAATGAATTCAGGCATCCAGGAGTCGGCAGGCAGGCAGCTGTCACTGCTTGCTGAAGTGTATGTGCTTCTGAGCACGTGCAATGACAGTGCACAGCTTCCCCTGTGATAAGGCTTGGTGTTCCCACTTCCCAGTAAAGGCAGTGCTAAGCCTCTCTAGAAAAGAAGTATATTTGTAATGGAGTTATTGTGTATTGACATTTTAAACAGAGCTTTGAATATTCAGCATTTCCTCATATGTGAAAGCGCAAAGTCATGAAAAATTCTACAACCTGTGGGTTGAGTAAAACGTACACTGAGGTTTTGAGTGCAGTGGTGTAAGTAGTAGGCATTTCCCTAGCATTCATGTGCAGGAGAGTGGCTCTGTATAACATACAGATGGATGGGCTCCTACTGAAGTCTTTTCAGAAGAAGCCCTCAGCCTCCAACCAACTTCTGCCCATTGTTAACTCCCTGAAACACACTTCCCCCTTAGTTCCATATCAGGTGATTTTTTGTACAACATTTATTTCCTGAAATAGGATGATAGGATGATAAGATGATAAGTCATCAGGGGCAGCAGACACTATTTATACTGCTGTTTTAGCTTCACAAAAGATTGACGTGCTGTGCTGTCAGCACACATCTTGAAATAAAAAGAAGAATGAAGAGAAAGTATCACTTGGGT